ACACACACTCACACACACACAGATACACGCAGACCAGCCCAGCAGCTAAATGAAGGGGCAGGCTCTGGGGCTCTCTCAGTTGCTGCCTTTGCCCTGAGAGCTGTGCAATGCCAGTATGCCTCCTGCTGCCCACTGGGCAAGTAGGAGACGCAGGTAAGGGGCTGCCTGGCAGGCAGCAGATGGCACACTGGCATCGTGTGGCTCCTGGGGCAAAGGGTGCAGAGAGCCCTGCCTCTACCTTGTGCACAAATCCAGAGGGGCATGTCTCCCCTGTGGGTGTGCACTGTAGCAGGGAGTCATGTCCCCCCCAACACTCTGGATGGGCTGCCATGTGACCTACCCCAGCCCCCATTCAACCCAAGCCCTGCCCCACTTAGGGGCCTCAATTGCCCCCTCTGCCCCTTCCCTCTCCCCCCAGCCCTTTCCCTCCACAGACTTACCAGCTGGATGCTCTCTACATGGGCCGGCAGGAAAAGTCCCAAGATTTGAGGGTTATATCTCGAGATCATGACTTAGAGTTCATTGATTTGGAAATCAGGAGTCTCATGATTGTTTCATGACAGTTGGCATTACTGGAGCTGTCCTGCTCTGCTAAACTTACTGAAACGTACTGCTGGCTGCAACTGTGGCCCACAAGGCCCAGAGGCACCTGGAAGCAGGAAGAGGAAGTGATGAGTAATCCTCCAGAGTCCTTCTTCTGTGATTCTGGACCACATATCCCAGAGATCTCTGAGACAGCAGGAAGAGGAAGCAAACACACAGCACATGCTGGCTACATGCCAGAGAGCTGTGCTCTAGCACTCCCCAGCTTCTGGCCTAAGTCACTGCAGGCATGTGGCTGCATTTCCTGAATCAAAAGTGAATGTATGTCCAGTTGTTCCTCAGTTTAATCTCTGCAGTTCAGACTAACCTGCAAAGACTGAATCGATTCAGCCTTGGGCTTTTTGGCTAGGGACAGACATTATACGTAAACTGGTTTCAGAGATCAGAAACTGGTTTAAACCCATAACAGAGATATTCAGTGCACATAAACTAGTTTGAAAGTGGCTGAAACCAGTTTGAGATAAACCTGGTTCAATGTAGCATCAGACTTAATTGATTTGGGTCAAACTAATTTATGCAATATCTGTCCCAGACCCCTTGCTGGTTTAAGTTAAACCGACTCCACCAGCATCCCAGCATGCTCTCTGGGCTGGGTGGGGCTCTCTGCTCCACAGCAGAGATGACCCCTCCCCTCTGCTTCCTGGCTGGAGCTTGGCAGAGACTGCAGACACAGCAGGGTCTGTCTGGCTTCCCCCTGCCCCACCCTACCTTGTTGTTCCAAGCAGGGATCATTCCCTCCCATCTCCCACAGCACAGACCCCAGCCCCACAGACCCTAGGCATCTGGTATGCTAGCTAATGTTGAAAGGTATCTGCACGTCTGTTGCCAATTTCACTGGGACAGGCAGACAGGACAATGTCTATTTTATCATTTTGGAGATAATCAATAGGTCAGTGGGTAAGGTCCTTCCTTGATTCCTTAGAAAAAGCTGTTTAAGAAGAGCTTGAGAAAGGCTATTGTTTTGCTGATGGGGTGATAAGCACTAGGCCTGTGCAAAGTGGCTAGTATTTGCTTTGGATTTGGCCAATTCGGGGGAATGATTCAGAGATTTGGCCACCGTTGAATTGGCTAAATCTCTGAATTGAACAGGCCCCATCCTCCACCCGCTCTCCCAGCTCCATCAATAGTTGCCCCACTCATCCCCAGCATACCAGCGCTTTAAAAAAACCAAAAAACCCACCTCATACTCACCTGCTCCTGCTAGGCAGGGGGGGCAGGGAGGGGTTGATCCCCACTGCACCCCACTGCCCCATGCTGCATGGGGGGCTCTGCCATGAGCCACCCCCCCCACCTACTCTCCCATTCCTGTCAATAGTGTTGCCGGCTCTTGAAAAAAAAAAAAACCCCAAAAAGCCCTGCACTCACTCGCTCCTCCCAGGCGGGGGGAGAGTGGGGGTGATCCCTGTTGCAGTACACTGCCCCATGCTATGTGAGGGGGGCTCTGCTATGAACCCCCAGAAGCCCTGATGGCCGCTACAGAAGCCA